ATTTTAATAAACAATTTAATCATTTTTAACTTTTCATGAACTCAAAAATTCCCGCATTTTGGGAAACCCTTTTTAACTTGACATGCCATCTTAAAAAGCAAACGTTCATGCCAGTGTTATTTGATAGTTTTTACTATAATATTTTGAATTAGTTTTTATTGTGAAATTTTCTGTTTTAATTTTAAAATAGTTAAGTTTAATAGTTTTAGTGTTTTGGACAATTTTTAGTAACTTTTTTAATATGAATTTTTTATTTAAATTTTAGTACATCAAGTTAAACCAAATGAAAATGAGAAATGTTGCATTGGCAACTAGCTGAAATAAAATTTACAAAAGTTAATTTTTTAATATTTTGTTTTCATTTGATTTGATTTCATTTGAAGTTTATTTTACTTCAATTTTAGTACAACTAAATAAAAATGTTTCTTTGGTAACTAGCCGAAATAATATATATATATATCAGTTTATTGAGTTTATTTTAATTCAAATAACGAAAGGTTGTTTTGTATGGTTGTAGTTTTAGTTAACTGTAATAAGTTACAGTAAAATGGCACAAGACACAATGCAATGGCCAGAGACATCCATCTGATGTATGGGTACAGAAAACAGTGCAGACAAAACGCTTGAACATTTCCTGCTCAAACGGCCCCCGAGGGTCTTTATTTACATGCCAGTGTTGACATTTCAGCTTTGTGCTTCAAAAAAACATGTTTTGTACCTTCTTATTTTCCTTCTAAACCTTTAGCACAAATCTCAGCAGATTTTGTCTTCTAGGCCATCTACATTTAGAGTCTGTTCCTCCTGTCATGACGAATATTGATGTGTTTTTGCAAGAGGGCTTTTCTCAGTATTCTGGGCTTTGAGTTTGATGCTAATAAAAATGACAGAATCCTAAAAGCACAGTCCTAAATAACAGGAAATCAAATACATTTCGGCTGGATGGATGGATGGATGAATGTTGCTCTTGAGAAACTTCTGGCCTCGGATGAAGAGCCGTGATGAATCATAGCGGGATGTTGATTACTACAGCGAAATACTGACCTAGAATCAGAGCGAACCGCGTAAACCCATAAATCGCCTTTTCTCTGAGAATTATTGTGGTTCCTTAGATACAAAAGGGTTTTTACAACAAACTTTTAAAAACGACATGCTGAATGAGGAATAGGATCTCTCAAAGGCATTCGTGAAACTGGAAACCCTGTTGTCTGGGACTGTAAAGTCTGATAGTTTGGACCCGATCACCCCTGCTGAGGGGGTAAAGACGGGTCCTTACCTGGAGATATGTGAACTAGACCCCTTCTTTGATAGCAGATCTGAAGGATTACTTCATCAGGTGAAACGGAGACACCACAGGTAATTGATCATAAAGCATTTCTTGTTTGTTTTTTCCCCCACCGCAGTAATGGACAGCACAGGTGAAGCATGCAATGAAGTTTATAGGACATGTACATGGTGAACACTGACCCTGCTTTATCACAGGAGCTCATCTGAAGTCTATTTCACACCTGAAGACAGCTGGTGCACTGACTCCAGGATGGGATGGGACGGATTACATCAAAGAGCACGGGGCCCATGAGAACCATTCTACCAAATGGGTCCTTTTGTGTTTCTCATTAACATATGTGACCCTGGACCACAAAACCAGTCTTAAGTGTCAATTTTTCGAAATTGAGATGTATAAATCATTTGAAAGCTGAATAAATAAGCTTTCCATTGATGTATGGTTTGTTAGGATAGGACAATATTTGGCTGAGATACAACTATTTGAAAATCTGGAATCTGAGGGTGCAAAAAAATCTAAATATTGAGAAAATAATCTTTAAAGTTGTTCAAATGAAGTCCTTAACAATGCATATTACTAATCAAAAATTACGTTTTTATATAATTACGGTAGGAAATTTACAAAATATCTTCATGGAACATGATCTTTACTTAATATCCTACTGATTTTTGGCATAAAAGAAAAATCGATAATTTTGACCCATACAATGTATTTTTGGCTATTGCTACAAATATACCCCAGCGACTTAAGACTGCTTTTGTGCTGCAGGGTCACATATGAGTAAGTAATGACCATGGATTTTATCTATGGGTTGTTACTGGGGTTTCCCTAAACACACAAAAATCTAGTAACTTTATGTTAATTTGTATTATTTATTTGATGCTTTTGTAGGGTTCTCATAATTCTTTTTTTAACCCCGTTATCATGATTGTTTTGTAAAAATCTATCAATCACTGCATTATTTAAAACAATGCTATATAATTTTTCTTCTTAAAAAATTAAGCATTTAAAAAATAAACTTGAAATGAAATGAAATCAAATAAAAATGTGAAAAACAAAACAAAAACTTATTTTATTTAATCTAGTTGCCAATGCAACATTTCTCATTTTCAATATTCAGTATATTTTTTCTTCAGTTATATTATTTATTGGAAAAAATATCAATGGAAAAAATTGGCTAAAATTATTGGCACCCCTAGAAAATCTTATGAGTAAAATATCTGAAATATACTCCCATTCATATTTAGCTTTCTTTTCGCACACCAGGGTGACTAAGAGCATGTTCCACAGGATTGTAAATATGAGGAACACAAAGGCCAAATTCCCTTAATCATCCATCACAAAAGAACAAAATGAAGCTTCTGCCATGGCCGTCCCAGTTGAGCTGAACCCTATAGAAAATGAGTGATGTGAACTGAAGAGAAGAAGCACCAGCATGGAGCTGTGAATCTGAAGGATCTGGAGAGATTCTGTATGAATGAGTGTTCTCTGATCTCTTGTCAGGTGTTCTCCAAACTCATCAGGCATTATAGGAGAAAACTCAGAGCTGTTATCTTGGGAAAAAGATGGTGCAATAATTGGGTGCCAATAATTGTGGCTAATGTGAACTAGAGAGAACTTTCCATTGTTTTACTTCAATGATAGGTTAGAATTTTGTGAATTTTTTTAATGAAAGATCAAAATCATAAACGATGCAGATTTATTTTCACAGCCACCTTTGCTCACATTAACCAAGGGTGCCAATATTAGTGAAGGGCACTGTATATATATATATATATATGTGTGCGTGTGTGTGTAAACACTAATAAATATGACGAAAAGACACTAAAACAATTGAAAGCAGAATAAAAAACTAATTCAAACTAATTCAAAATATTTATCAAAAATTTTAATTATACTAAAATAACACTGGTATATATGTATGTATATGTGTGATATATAATTTTTCATATTTTGGATAATTATTATAATTTATCAACATTATATTGATAATTATAATTATAACGTAATTTGTCTCGATTTTTTTTTTTACTATGAAGAAATGCAGTGACGTTAAGTAATATCCTTATTGTGACTTATTCTCTCACTCAGACACTCATTCATGCATAAATATTTCAATAAATCGTTCTTGGAGAAAAGCTAATCACTGTTCAAATGGGGGTTCTATGTTCGATGCAACGGGACAATCTTTGAGACGAGGACGTGTTTCAAATGGATTTCTGCGGTCTCTTGAAGTTGGATCCATTCCTGTCTGCTCTTTTGAAATCGGAGTAATGCAAGAACAGAATGATGAAATCACAGTATTTTGCTCTTTCGAAATGAGATTTCACTCATGTGGCTACAAACCGAATGTTCTTGATGTTGTTATTGTGCTCAGATCTCTCCTGCATGTGCAGTCTGAGCTTTTGCGTGTTCTTTATGTGTTTCAGCTTTTGAATGATGCACAGGTTCATCGTGGATGTGGTGATTTCACACCTGCATTATTGCTCTTGTGCTGCAGTAAATCAGGGCAGATTCACAGTGCAGTAGTTTGGAAGATCATGCACTGCACATGAAGACTCAACTCTATCTGTGGCATAAACAGTGTAGACCATTTGCATTATTCATTTACTTCTTTACTGATATCATGAGAGGTCACAAGAGGTCAGCCACAAGACTTAAAGGGGTCCTATTATGCTCTTTTACAAAGTCTTGATTTGGTCGGGAAATGTCCCGCCCCTTATCATAGCCGCCTGCCAGCTTCAGTGTAAATATTGCGTCAAAATCAAATCAATTTGAGTGCGATTTAAACCCGGATGATTGTAACCACTCTAAGTTCGTCTGCCTTGGGAAAGCTAGCGTGTCTCAGACATAGTGATAACACTCGTTGCCTTCTCTAGTGCAGCTCAACCAGGTCTCGTCCCATTCGTGGATATTTGTGATATCACAAATCCCAGAAAATATGCGTTGTAGTCCAAACGAGTCATTCGTTGTAGTTTTTGAAAAACGAAATAAAATAAAATATCTCCTTTTGAAGTGGACTTTGAGCTTTGTAACTTTGCAGATCTTTTTTATGCTCAAACAGCAACATTACAGACTAACTAAAGTTGAAAAAGTGAAAAAGCATAATAGGACCCCTTTAAAACAAGTAACCACGGCTATGGGGGAAAATGCCACCAAAAACTACAAAACAGTCATTGGAATCACATGATTTCTGATATATATATCTAATATATATGTATATATTTTATAATATTCTATTCTAGGCCTATCTTATCATAGGTTAAGACAGCATAAAGCTGAAAGGTTGAAAAACCTTTCAACTTTCAGCTGTCTTTCCATAGAAGATAGAAGAAGAAGACAGAAGAAAACACCGTGTGCATTATATACCTATACATATATATTACGACATGCATTGCATACCTTTTTGTTTTTATCAAGATAACCTTGTAACCCGGGCAAGGATTGTCTGTTAAAACTTCCTATATATTGTTTGTTAGCGAATGTTAATGAACGTTGTTATTAGCTGTAACCGACGTGTCTGGTCTTTTCTCTTCCAAAATCAGAGTCGTCAAGACAGCGGCGCGCGCAAACCGTTGCTCGAGTTCAAATGGCTCGTGCGCTCATGGAGAGCTGATGTGTGGCGCGCGCGTCCAAACGCTCTGAGAGTCTCTCACATTTCAGGAAGTGTCGGAAGTCCTCAGCTGCTGTCCGTCTGAAGTGCTCTATATTATGGTCGCGCAGCCGTGATCCGCGTGGATCGTCCGTGTGGATCTCCGGTCGGGCACCATGTCCACTCGGTACAGCCTGAGGCGTGCGCTTCTGCCCAAGGTCTGCGCGCATGTTGTGTCCGTGCTGACTGTCTGCTGCGCCGGGGGGCTCTTTCCAGCCGGTAAGACACATTTGACTAGAATTGCTTTGTGCACTTACAACTTTCAAATGACTGTGCGGCTGCGGCTCAAAACCTAGTACGCTGCCTACTTAGTCAAACAGCATCTTTGGGCATCATGGACACGCAAAAGTCAAACTGCACAGTTGTTTATTTAAAACACGGTTTCTACCTGATCTGACACTTAAATCCAAATGTTTTGATTTGCACAGGTAATTTAGATGAAGTAGCTTGCATTTAGGTTACTTGGCATAAAACATTGTAGTTTGTGTTTTAGGAACAGACCGAGTCTCTTGTTCTCAGAGCAGCACAACTGATGCATGGTGGACAGTTTGTATTAAGAACATGCTCTGATGTTTCTCCAGAACTGCTTCTTTGAGAGATATTTGTGCTTAATTGAGGCATTAACAGAACATCTGTGGTTTGATGGTGGTTTTTATTGTCATAACTTGGTTTATCAATACACTATTTGGCGACCAGATGATGATCATTGTGAGTTGATTATAATGATTTCATCTAAAATACAGCTGAATGTGAGGGAATCTCACAAAACCTGCTCAAGTCATACTTAAAGCTAAATATTTTTGCTTTAAATAAAATTGTAATTTTTTCCTTTCTTTTGGACCAATGAGAAATTTGATTGATTGATTACTGCAGGAAAATTTTGTTTTGGAAAAATATGATTGATTAATTCATTGACTCAAGAAAATGAAGGTTATTTTTCGGACAAAGATTTATTTATTTGTTTATTTATTGCATTGTGTGCATTATTTTTGAGAACATTTTGCCTATTTTCCTCCTACATTCTCGTTACATTTTTATTACTGTGATTCCAATAATGGTATATGCATTTTTTTTTAATTGTAGAGAATGTATACATCATGTTACTATTTTTGTACTACCTTTTATGTATGCTATTTTTTTAAATACATAAAAAAAAAATGACAGCATACTTTGTGTAATATGGTATAAAATGACGCTATTACAGTAATGAGGATCTAATGAGAATAATCAATGTGAATAATGGCATTTAATATATATATATATATATCACATCATCATTGGTAAAGTTCTCTTAATTACCACAGAACACAATCAGTCTCTCTTCTCCTCCTGATGCTAAATGTATTTGTGTGCGAGTGATGATTATGTTATTGTGTGCTCTGCTGAGTTAATTGCATGTAGACGATCATTAATAGTTAAAGGCTCATTCATCATAGAGCCAGTTACTGATATGAAGTGGATGCAGTCACGGTGATTTATATGATGCGAGCACTAATGAAACAAACCTGCTGCATACAACACTGGCAGATTTGATAAATGACACAGCGTTTACAGCAACATGGTACTTGATCAGCCACAGATACTTTCATTAAATCAGAGTGCTTATACAAAACAGGTGTGCTGGAGGGGGGATGAGATGTGGAGCATCATGTAACCATCATCGTTTACAGTATAATTTGTTAACATTGGATAAATGTAGCATTACATCACTTGCTCCCCAATGGATCCTCTGCAGTGAATGGGTGCCGTCAGAATGAGAGTCCAAACAGCTGATAAAAACATCACAATAATCCACAAGTAATTCACACCACTCCAGTCCCTCAATTAATGTATTGTGAAGCAAAAAGCTGCGTGTTTGAAACAAATCCATCAAGACATTTTTAACTTTCAACCGTTGCTTTCGAATAAAGTAAGAGTCCATAATCCATAATATTGCTTTTCCAGTGAAAAAGTGGTCTTGTCTGAATAAGGAGAGAAATCTGCACAGATCAAGCAGCGTTTACAAGCTAAAACAGTCCAAAACAAATATGTGGGTGGATTTTGATGTGAGAGGAACAACAGGAGATGGACTTTTTCACTGGAGAAAGCATTATTATGGATTATGGACTCATATTTAGCCGGAAGTGCCGGTTTAAAGTTAAAGCATCATGGATTTGTTTCTTACAAACATATAGCTTTTTGCTTCACAAGACGTTTTTTGATGGATTGGAATGTTGTAAGATTGATTACTTGTGGATTATTGTGATGTTTTTATCTGCTGTTTGGACTCTCATTCTGACGGCACCCATTCACTGCAGAGGATCCACTGGTGAGCAAGTGATGTAATGCTACATTTCGCCAAATCTGATGAAGAAACAAACTCATCTACATCTTAGATGGCCTGAGGGTGAGTACATTTACAGCACATTTTCATTGTTGGGTGAACTAGTCCTTTAATAATTCTGGTTCCTCAACAGTTATTTTATACTAAACAAAACTATTGTTGGTTGCATAACTTTTGCTGTTTACATCATACTGTAAAAAAATATATTTTTGAGATGAGATGAGAATTGTTTCTACACCAAATTTATTTTCAGTTTATTTTAAAAAGTAAGGGTTTGGTTCTCAAGAACCGCTCCAATCGATTTAGATCAATAATTCTTGATCTCCAGAATGATTCTATTTTTGTTTGATTTGTTAAAAAGAAGAGTCTTGTAGTCATTTGTGAGTCATTAAAGGGAGACATAGGCAAGGAAGGGCAGAGGAACCCAGAAAGATGAGTTTGGAAAGATGTGAGGTGAAAGTCAAGAGAAAGAACAGAGAGGAAGACATGAGGAAGAGACGAGCCCATCACAGTGGGGTGTTAAACCAGAAACCGTTGATGTGACAACAAGGTTACAGAGACACGCGATCAAAGCGGCGCTGATACCCAACATGTGTTTGAGAGAGGATGTCGACTACTGCGTGTGAACACTGTCCCTGAGGCTGCTACAAATGCTTCTGTTCCCTCCAGACGCAGCTTATGGGCAAACCAGAGAGTTCATTCCCACTTCTGTGAGCGTGTGGCATGTTTGAAGTTAAAGTTCAGCAGAAAATGAAAACTCTCATCATTTGCTCACCCTCATGTCATTACAAATGTGCCTGGTTTTCTTTCTGCTGTGGAACACAAAAGCAGATGTTTAGCAAAATATCCAAATGTTATAATATTCTAGAAGTAGTCCATATTACATACACTATCATTAAAAAGTTAAAGAAATTAATACTTTTATGCATTAAAATTGATCAAAATTGACAGTAAAGGTATTTATGTTACAAAAGATTTATATTTTAAATAAATGCTGTTCTTTTGAGCTTTCTATTCATTAAAGAATGCTGAAAATCATGGTTTCCACAAAAATATGATGCAGCACAACATTGTTTTCAACATTGATAATAATCAGAAATGTTTCTTGAGCAGAAAATCAGCATATTAGAATGATTTCTGAAGGATCATGTGACACTAATGATGCTGAAAATTCAGCTTTGCATCACAGGAATAAATTATATTTAAACATATATTCAAATAGAAAACAGTCATTTTAAATTGTAATAATATTTCAAATTTTTGCCCTTTTTACTGTATTTTTGATCAAATCAATGCAGCCTTGGTGAACATAACTTTCAAAAACATTGAAAAATCTTCAAACTTCTTAATGATAGAATGTGCAATATTCCATGTCTTTTGAAGTCGAATGATAGTTTTATAGAAGGAAAAGACCAAAATTTGAGTTGTTATTCACTGAAAATCTTGTAGTTCTGAAATCACATTCACAGTCACAGTTTTAAATGCATCGTGTTGCATTTGGTCACATGACATGTGAAAACCAGTAGAGCAAGACTTCAAAAATCTTGAAATATTGTTCACAAGTTGTATAAACTACTTCTGTGGTGCTTTTTTGACTGACACATTCATTGCATGGACAACAAAAGTTTCACAGAAGAAAGAAAATACATTTTGGGTGAACTGTACCTTTAAGATTTTCATGCACTCACTTGCTCTGGAGGAGAAACACAGCAACTCATCTTCCCACAATTCCCCCCTGGTGCGAAACACGGCGCGTCTGTGACAGGAAGTGGTTACCTGGCTGCCTTAGTTAAAGGCTAATGAGGGAGTTTATCAGAACAGGTGCCTCCCCGCGGTCCCACGAGGCCTGAATGCATCCGCGCGGCTGTTTTCAGAGTCCAGCATGTGGTCCTGCATAAAGGCCGCTGGAGTCGGAAAATGACTGGAAATCCTTAATGGCATGGTTTTATGAGCAGGCGTCTGCAGAGATTGTTCGGTTTATGGGTATGATCTGTTATTAAATGCATGAGGGTCGCGGAGATGCCGTTGCGAAGCATCTGTTATTTCGCATTATTAAAGTTGACAGGAAATCTTAACTGACCCTATTTGCTTCCTTTATGCATATTTCTAGTCTTGTTGTGTATGATTCATCATTGCATATTATTCATCGTCAAACAATATGTTGTTTGTTCATTTAATTAGCCGATGTAGATACTGATATCTAGAGAGCAGAGAGGCCAGTGACCGATTTAATGCTTGCATGTCATTTAGTGGTTGAGATCTGGATTATATTTGAATAAACAGCTATAAATGGCTGTTTAGACAATGTTTTGGCAAACTTTCTTTCCATTTTGGTTCCATTCGGATGTGAAACATCCACTTTTCACTGTCCTAAAGAAGAAAATTCCTCGTTTCCCATTTAATATCATTTTTAAATGAGAAAAACAATACAATTTGAAAGGTTGGGGTCAGTAAAATTTTATTTTGTAGGAAATTAATACTTTTATTCAGCAAAGACGGATTAAATTGATCAAAAGTGACAGTAAGTACATTCATAATTTTACAAAAAAACATTCTGTTCCAAATAAATTGTTCTTTTGAACTTTCTATTCATTAAAGACTCCTGGAAATCACTGTTACTAAACATATGAAGCCGCACAACTGTTTTCAACATTGATAATAATCAGAAATGTTTCTTGAGCAGCAAATCAGCATATTAGAATGATTTCTGAAGGATCATGTGACACTGAAGACTGGAGTAATGATGCTGAAAATTATGCACAAAGAGCTTTGTGCTTTGTTACTTGTTATAAGAAACAAAGTCAAATTTTTCAACTTCTGTCCATTCTGTCATTAAAATCAAACAATAAATGCCGTTTTGACGCTTTTAAATGTGACGTGATGGATCACTGTGTAG